CCGGTGGGGTGTGAGCTCGTCCTCCCTCTCTGGCACACCCCCCCCCCCCGCCCCGCCCCAGCCCTGCGGTCCGCGGGTTCTCCAAGGAGCGGGGTTCCATGCACAGGAGAGGGGGGTAGGGCGCGGGGGCGGGTGCTGGTGCACTTGTTGCCGTGGGATTCGTTGGTCCGCACGCTGGAGATGACAGAGCAGGAGACTCAGGTCCTCTAACTCTGGATGTGCCCACGACTCCAACGACTTCGGCGAGTAACCATGTGTGTCCCTGTTAAGTGAAACGTGAGCTCATCCTGCTGATACAGTCCCCTCGTAACCACGTGGGCCCTTCTGGCCTCCTCCCCTCGCTGATCAAGACGTTTCCATCCCGCGGTGGGAACCGGGCTCCCCCATTTTGCATCCATTTCCTTAATTGGCCCATTCCAGTCGGCGTGCAGAGCGGGACCAGGATGGCTATCCCGGGCCATGGGAGGCAGCTCTGTGGGCCTGGATGCGGCCTGCGCATCCGGCTGCTTCTCCGCGGGGCCGCTGGCGTGCCGTCAGAACTCAGGCTGCAGGGGGCTCATGGCGCGGCGCATCTCTAAGAAGGCCCGTGGCCTGCAGGGAGGTGGGGAGAGGGGAGCTGGGGCCTCCGGCTGCGCCTGGTCAGCCTGCCCCGCGGGTGCAGGGCACACAGACTCGGCATCCCTTTGCAATCTGGAAGCGGGGCTCAGTGCACACAGCCCAGAGGTCTGGCTCCAGCAGCATGAGGAGGAAGGCTGCGGGGGACCCCGTGCAGCTCTTGGGCTGAGATCCCGGTGGGGCCTGGCTCCTCCCCGCGTCTGAACTCACACCTGAGCAGGGGCGGCCCTCGCAAGAGCACCCCTGAGCAGCAGGGCCCCGAGGGCAGTTTCCTTTCTGGAAACGAGAGACGGGAGGCTCCGCGTTGGCTTCCGTTTCCACGGAGGGTCTGTCTGCACACGTGCGTGCGGGTCTCTTTGGCGGGGAGGAAGGCTCCCGGGAGGAGGAGGAGGAGGGCTGGGCAGGGGGTGGTGCCCTGGAGCGGGGTGCCTGCACGCCCTCTGTGGGGCCAGGCGCCCGGCTCCCAGCGCTCAGTGGGCCCTAGCGTGGCCCCGGGTGGGGGAGTTTCCGAAGAGGGCAGCGGCCGGTGGAGCAGGCTCGGACGAAGGCTGGCACGGTGGCTGTCCTCGAGAGAAAACGGGGCAGGACAGCGGGAAGGACACGGTGAGTAGGGCAGCGAGGGTGACTGTCGCTTGGGGCGGCGCACAGGTGGGCGGGAGCGCCGTGCCCCCACACCATCTGCAGCGTCCCTGTGCCCTTTCCCACGCAGGCTGTTGGGGGCCTCAGAGGAGCCAGTCTTGTTTTCTCGCTCTCGGGAGAGCTCCCGCCGGGGACCTGGGGGGGCTCCGGCCACCTGCCCAGCCCACAGCGTGGTGCCTGTGCTGCGTGCCCCGTCCGTGCCTTCTCACCTGCCTGAGAAGGACTTGCTCTGTGCCGGGGAGCGAGGCCGCTGCCTCCAGGAGCACGTGGCGGGAGGGACGAGCGAGGTGGGGGCCGCGGGACAGCAGCCCACCCCGCCTGGGGGTCAGGAGGACCCCCAGGCGGGGTGAGAAGGGGCCACAGGAGCCCATTTGGAGGGACATGGGATTTAGGCCGAGGAGGAGTGAGGAGGGGCTGTAGGCCGGGCTAGGCCTCCAGCCAGCATTCTGCCCTCCCCTGGGCCCACTCTGGTGGGGGCCTGTGGGGGCAGCTTACCAAAGGTCAGCTCCGTGCAAGGCTCCTGGAGATCCAGCTGGCACGTGCCCCCATCTGCTGGGGCCGGGCCATGTCGGGGGTGCTGTGGGATGTGTGGCCAGCTGCCTGGGCCTCCCATCTGGGCCTTCTCAAAGCTCCTATCTCCCTGCTGTGGTGTGGGGGCTCCAGTCTCCCCTGGTCCCCTGGGGGGCATCTCAGGAGGCTGGTGGAGCTGGCCAGGGGCTCACTGAGTGGGGGCTCTGTGGGGCTGGGGGGGGTGCTCTTATGTCCGAGCGGCTCTTCCTGGGAGTGAGGCTCCTGGGGCCTGATGTGGGGCCGGCGTGCCGTGGTCCTGCTGCCTGTGTCTTCTTGCTGGCCTGGCTCCCCCGCTGGGGTCCCCCTCCCAGATCCTTGCTGTGCCACACCTGCATCCCTGCTTCTTTCTGGGTTGACGTTTGTGGGTCTGCTGGGTCCCGTGTGACAGGCACAGTCAGCTCTGCTCTGGGGGTGATGCCGGCCCGGCCTCTGGTCCAAACCTTTATTATCACAAGACTCAGAGCCTCACTCTTAGGAGCACCAGGCTCACCAGCCACCTGCAGGGTTCCCACAAAACCCACACCCCGACGGGGGTGCCCTGTGGCAGCAAGGTGCGTGGATGATCTCACAAACCCCGCGTCCAGGAAGCAGAAGTGTGAGGGTCACATGTGGGGGCAGGGTGGAGGGGTGCCCAGCTGTCCCGAGGGGCATCACCGCCTGGTGCCGGCGGGTTGAGGCTGAGCCCTGCGCCCCTTCCAGGCCCCTGTGGGCGTGTCGTGGGGGCCCTCTGCTGGCGTCAGCACCCAGGGCGGGTGTCCGGGAGCTGCAGCCCCTTTCTCGTTCCATCCAGAGAGGAAGGTCGGAGTCCCTGCTGGACAGGAGGACAACGCGTGTCTTTCCCCGGCGGTGTGCCCGATGGGCGACCAGGGTGTCATATTGGTGGAGCGTAGAGCAGGCACGCTGGGCGCATCCTGGGTCAGAATGAAGAGAGAGCCTCTGTTCCACAGCCCATGCTTGAGAATGCAGGGAGGAGTGTGAATCATGTCGCGAGCATTCCACGAGGAAGTTTAAGCAAGCGTAAGCATCTGAGTGTGTGCGTGCAGGCGCGTGTGAGACGGAGGTGGTGTGCGAGCTGGTGTGGAGGAGGAGGGTAGCGGTAAGGACCCAGAGGTGCTGGACCAGAAGGCAGAAGCGAAGGAGAGAGATTTCCTGGTCCTTAGAGCAGGGCCCGGCCCGCCAAACACTGGAGGCTGTGGATAACGTGACTTCGCTGCTGCTGAGCTGGGTGGAGAAGGAAGTGAGATGTGACTCAACCAACAGAAAGCCCTGGGCATCCAGGCTGGGCGGAGCTGCTGGCCGCCGGCGGGATTGTAGTGAGGACTGGAGGGGAAGGCAAGGCAGGAGGGGCCGTCCGTGTCCCTGCTGGGAGAGCCTAGAGGCAAGGGGTCCGTGGTGGTCAGGAGGGGCCCGGCAGGTGTCGGCGGCAGATGGGCACCACCGCAGGGGTGTGCCCGGGGAGATCAGCCCCAGCAACCCCCGGCCGCTGCCAGACCGGGAGGGAGGCCCAGGAAGCCTCATGACTGCCTGGCATGATGGCGGGGGAGTCTGATGGCGGGGGGAGCACGAGGTGCCGCTGGGCATCTTCCCGGTGGTGCTGGGAAGGCACAGTGTCGAGAAGGGACGTGGTGGGGCTCCTGGATGTGGAGGTCGGCTAGCGTTTGTGAGAGGCGGGCCCGCCTGGTTCTTGGGAAGCAGGGGATTCATGCTTCTGTCTGCGGGCTGGGCCAGAAAAGGGGAGACGTGGCCTCTCACCAGCCAGTTTCTCTGCTTTGAAAAGCCCCGCGCCTGGTCTTCCACAGCTCGTCGCCACCTGCCGTGTTCCGGGAGTGGGCATTCTTCAGATGCTCCCGTGGCGGGGAGGTGGGTGGCTGCAGTTCTTGAAACAGCCCCTTCCTCTCCCCAGGGTCTTTCGTCAGGCTCCCGAGCCCCGCACCACTGTCACACAGGCTGGGCTTTGCTCGTCCTGAGAGGAGGGGACAGACTGGGCAGAGCCTAGCTGTGGCCCAGGCCTGGCTGGTGCTAAAGCCTTTCCTCTGCCCGGGTCACGGCTTCGCTAGGAGGCGTGGGGCTGGTGACTGAGCCTCTCCTCCAGAGCAGAGCTCCTGCTGACCCAGGGCAGGGACCGCAGGTGGGCCACATGCTGGGCGGGGGCTGGGCACACGGCAGGTGCTCCATGAGTGGGGAGGTTTTTCCAGCCTCGCTGGTGCTCCAGAGGAATCCTTCCGGAGCTGCAGCCCTGGTCCCGGGGTCCTTGACCCTCTGGCAGAGTTGCTGCCATCTTTGGGGAGGCCCCGGAGCCTCCGGGGGGAGGGAGTCTTGGATGCCGGGGTCCCCACCTCACGTGGCCCATGCGTGGACAGCATGCTGTCCTGCTGGTCTGGTGGGGGGGCAGGGCACCCCAGGAGAGGGTGAGTGGGTGGGTGACACCCCCCACAACAAACCTGGCTGTGGCCTCGTGGTCCCCACTCTGCAGATGAGTAAGTGGGGTTGGAAAGGTCGTGGTAAGTGGCTGCCCCCGGGACCCGTGCCCTTGGCTGTGTCCCAACTGCCACACCTTTTGGGCCCATCTAGGTGTTTTACAGGGTTGAAGTTGTCCTATTTGTTACCCACTGCGGGCCTCAGGGGGACCCTAAACTCTGCTTTCGGGGTGACCTGCCCTCTTCGTGTGTGTGTGTGTGCCGAGGGCCCCCCGGCTCTGCACGGACCTCCCCAACCCTGTCGGGAAAGCCGGGGTGTCAGATTCTTCCCTGTCACCTGACCCTCCATCAAAGGACGTGGGTCTCCCCCACTGGACCGTGAGCTCCTTGAGGGGGGGCTCGGGCTCGGGCCATCTTTGCAGGTGCCTGCCGCACCTGGCCAGCGAGCGCTGGGAGGCCAGGGGCCGACCACGATGCTCCCTGCCCTGCCCTTGCTGTCTCACTCGGAGCCAGCGGAGCGGGATCTGCTGGAGGGTGCTGTCTGGGGTCTGGCTTGGTCTCGGTCTCGCTCTGCCCTCTGGAGGCTGAGCCAGCCCAGGGGGCGGTACCTGGAGCGGAGGCCTGGGGGGTGGAGCGGGGCGGGGCCAGGGAGGCCTCGCTAATCTGGGCCGTCCCTGCCCCTGGAGCCTGTGTCACCGCTTCTGAGAGGGGCGGGAGCTTTGCTGGGGGTGGGGCAGGAACCCTAAAGAACGGGAGGACTGGCACTTGGAGCAGGAAGGCTCGCACAGAAATGCCGCCCGATGGTGGTAACGGGGACTCTGGAGCTTGCCGCGGGGGCCCAGGTCTCACACCCGTGGTCTCCTTCGCTAATGGCCCCATTTGAGAGCTGGAGGGCCCAGCACAGAGAGGTGAGGTGTGGCTCAGGAAAGATCACACGGCCAGAGAGATGCGAGGCTGGGTGATTACAGAGGCCACTGTCACCCAGGGCCTTGGCACGTCTGCATCAGCCTTGGTGGCCTGAACAGGCCTCTGGGTTCCTCCCAGAGGCAGGAAGGGCAGAGTCTGGAGCGTGACCCATGCAGCCCCGGGTCCAGCCCTTTGTGTCTGCTCTGCGTCCCCCTGGAGCTGCAGGACCCCTTGCCTTCTGGCAGAGAGCCGAGGAGGTGCTGGAGCTGTGGGGGGGCCCCTGTCCGAGAAGGTGGCGCTCCTGGGGCCGGGGCGCCGTAGTTCTGTGTGTGTGTGGCCTAGGCGGGGGGTTGCCTCCCGTATGCCTGGTCGGTGGGTGTCTTCAGGCTGCTCCTCCTGAGGGGCCTGGGGTGGGGGGGGGGTGCGGCTTGGCAGGGGGAGAGGAGGGAAGAAACCCAGGGCTTAGAACCAAGTGCGGGCCAGGCGCACAGGAGAGAGGCCGTGGCCGGGCAGGGATGGGCCTGAGAGGTTGGCAGGGAGAGCCCACGGTGTCTGTCCCAGCACAGCCGAGGATCCGGGGTCTCGTTTAGAGAAGCAGCTGGAGAAGGCAGGGGCCCCAGAACGGACAGGCCCCGAGGCAGGTCACTGTGTCCTCCCTCTTCCCAGCGTGTGACTGTGGAATCCCTCTTTGTCCTACGTGCTCTGATCCCAGACCTAAAACACGTTAACCTTACTGCTGTGCCAGAAAGTGGACTGTGAGTTTACCAACTCTCACCAAATCTGAGTGCGGCCTATGCTGCCAGAGTCGTTGCTGGTGACCCAGCTTACACACCCCAGAAAGGTCTGTGTCCTGTCCCTCCTCCCCGCCTCCCCCACCCCCGGCACTCTACATTTAGCCGTGGCCACAGAGGGACAGGAACTGTCAGGTGTCATTGGCACATTGGGACCTTGCCCATAAGTGTGGGCCCCACGGGGGGGCAGGGACCATATCCCTCATCCAAGGGGCCCCACCCCTTGGCTGAGGGCATTTGGGCGTGCTTGTGGTGGTGCCGCCTGCCCCCCTGTGGCCCCCCCCCCCCCCCCCGCCCCCGCCGGACCCTTGACCTGGGGCGTGAGGCCACCTCCCCGTCCTCCTGCCAGCAGACTTAATTGACAGATGAGCTTCCTTTTAAGTTAGGCAAGAGTGTATTTTCTCAATAGTTGGCTGCCTAATTGTGTGATTGCTTGGTGAGTTGCCGGCCCTGAGTCGTAGCAAGAAAGGTCAGCCGTGGCCTCGCTTAGAGCGAACACGGTCATTCACAACCGGGTTCACGTTCTCTCCGGGATCTTTTTACCATTCCGATTGGGAACCACGTCGGTTACACCTGCAGGAGCCCCGAATTCGGAGCGGGATTTCCATCTTGAGCGTCACTGACTCGTGTGCCTTCCGTCTGTGGGGACCAGCCTGTGGCCCGTTCCCCTGCGCGTAGAGGCTGGCCCTGCTGCGTCCCAAACATGCTGGGGATAAAAAGAGCCTGTTATGACCCATTTATAAAGTATTTCAGAATCACCTACATGAATATTTTGTCCTAAATTCTGTGTAATTAGGAGAGAGAAACCCTACTCCGTGATTATTTTCGAGCACCAGAATAACCTAGATGAGAAATCTCTCCATGTAGGTTTTCTCAAAAGAAGCCATTTTAGCAAAAAACATAATAGGAGTTGATTTTATCTACACTGTTGTCTCAAAGGCTTGGAAATAGCGTGTCTCCTTAAGGAACCTGCAAGCCTTGCTGACGGTTATGTGGTTTGCAGAGCCTTTCACTTGCCAACAGCGAAAGGTAACCTTCCGGAAGTGTTTACAGAATCCTCGTGAATCCTGGCTGGTGAGCCATGGCCGGCTTCCCTCCTGCCCAGCTTCCCCCCCCCACCCCCCCACCCCGCTCAAACCTCAGCTGAAGCCAGGAGGCCCTTCGGGTGGGTGAGGTTGGATGAGGAGCGGAATTTGCCGCTCTTGTCCATTTGGGGAATGTTCCTTGAGCGCCTCTCATGGGGGGGCTCCCCTGCCGCTTGCAGAAGGCAGCTTGGGGGCCGCGTGGAGCACCCTTTGCTGGGGAGGCAGGTGTGGGGCTGAGTTTCTGGGGTAGCGTGTATGGGGCTGGGGGAGACCTCTAGGAAGGGAGACTTGTGGGCCGGATCTTCTTCTCTTTTCGGGGCCCCAGGCTCACAGACCTGGAGGAATCCTGGCCCTTGGGGCCGCCCGCAGCAGTCACGCAGGACCCCCTTGTCTGTTCGCTCAGTTATTTCCAACGTGAGAGGTGCCCTCGAGCTCGCCAGCAAAGCAGGAGCGGGGACGGACCTTGATGATAAGCCCCGAGTAACAAGGTTCTCCCAGCGGGAGATCAGCTCCCGGGTTGCCCGTTTCCTGGGGGAGGCCTTTCTTGGGCCCGCACCACACTGTCTTGTGTCGGTGGGGCCGGACATCTGCCCGGGGGCGTCCCTCCTCCCTGACCCTCTAGAAGTGGTCTGGGCAGAGCGGGGGCTGGGGAGGCGACGCCTGAGGAGCATTCGAGGCCGAGGCCGGGGCAGGTATGAAAGCACACAGGTGTGAGGGACAGGGTGTGCTCAGGACGGGTGGGGCACAGGGGAGAGGCCAGAGGTGGCCAGAGGAGAGCTGGGGTGAGGGAGGTGGGGGAGTGAGGAGCCTCTGGTGGTGGTGGTGGGGTGAGCCCCGCTGACGGCAGGTGTTTCCAGAAGTTTCAGGTGTGGGAACGGCCTGGGATGGGAGAGGGGCCCCTGAGGCTGGGGCCACCCTGCGGTGAAGGGGAAGATCGGAGCTCCGGCGACCCCGGGGGTGTCCTGGGGCCGGGAAGGGGCCCCCATGAGGCGAAGCATTGAGGGATGGGGGTTGTGAGCCCCTCCCTGCGTGTGGCCGGCAGACCAGGCCCAGAAGAACCTGCCCTGCAGCCGAGAGGCGTGACCAGGCTGTTGGCAGGCTCCTGGGAGGTGAGGGGGCAGAGGGGCACCAAGTGGGGAGACCCTGCCTTTGGGCTCAATGCCTCGGGTTTCCAAAACAACCCTGGAGGTGACGTGGGGGGAACTGGCCTTCAGGACAGGGTTTTCTCGTGGTTGCCTTGGAGAGTGGTGCCTCTTCCGAGCTCGAGCTCGGTGTCCTGGGCTGTGAACCTGCCTTTATCAAGGGGTTGCCCTACCCTTGGGACCCTTGTCTTATAGCCCCGGGGTAGGTGCTGGCTGTGCCCCTGACACCAGGGTCGTGAAGGTGGTGGGGTCCCCGCGTGGAGGACCTGGAGAGGAAAACAGGCTCCCGTCAGGCAGCTCAGCCCCTGGCCAGGGTTGGCCGCCCTGTCCTGCGTTGACCCCCCCCCCCCGTACCCACACCCCTGCCCAGACCACCCCGGCGGCTGCCCCCCTCAAGCCATCAGGAATCATCGAGGGTCCCCTGCACCTTTCGAGGGGCCGAGATTGGAGAGCACGGAGAAGCCTCGAGCCGCACGGAGGTGGGGACTGTGGCTGGTGTCCAGAGCCAGCGGGCGAGCCGGCCCCTCCAGCTCTCCTGTCCTTACATCTGGCGCTCCTTCTCCCTCTGTCCCCATGGTGGGCTCTCCCAAGGAGCTGGAAAGGAGCGAGCCCGGTCCGGGCCTCGCAGTGGGTTGGCATGAGCCTGCGGTCCTGCAGAGAGGGCCCGGCCACCCCCGTGTTCTCCTTGCTTGGCATGCGGACCCAGTGCAGCAGGTGGATGGACTTTATCCAAAGGCAGTTGGTGGAGGCTGTGGAATGCTTGTGCGCAGTTGCAGCCCTCCGGGGGGGAGGTCAGGGGTCATGTATCTGCAGGTTTCCCCCCCCCCCCGCTTCTTCCTGAACTGTCTTGGGGGACGTGGAGCGGGGACCCAGGCTGGGAGTCTGACCGGTTAAATGGCCCGGTCGAACCCGGGGCTCTCAGTTTCTGTCGGTGTGAGTGTGCTGGGGATGAGTGACCCTGGCCGGCCTTTCCGGTAGGGTCAGCTGTGTCACAGCAGAGGGACTCTGACCGCCTTCTGTGTGGGTGGAGCCGGGCTGAGCGGTGAGTGAGGTGGGGGCTACCGACGGTCCTTCTCTTCCCGGTGAACCAGTTGACCGGATCTTGTTTCCTTTTGCGACCTGGGGGTCAGGCCCGAGCAGGCGGCCTTCCGTTGCTCCCTTGAGCCTTTCCCACTGTCCCCGAGGTCTCGAGGCTGCGGGATCGTGTCAGCTGCTGTCCCCGGGCAGGATGGGAAACCACCCTCCTGGGCTGTGCCAACCCGTCAGTCCGGATCGGCCAGGTCTCCGAGGAGCCTGCCGCTCTCGGTGAGGTCTGCCCTCCCCTGGGAATCCACCGCCAGACCTTTGGACCCTGGTCGGGACGGGGGCTCTCCGTCGGGATCGCGGAGCTTGGTGCCGGAAGCTTGACTGGGGCGGCCCTGTGGCTGTGCCACGTGGGCACGGGCGGCGCGGGTCCTGGCGGAAGGACCTTCGCGGAGCCAGGCTGTGGCGGGAGCCCCACGGCGGGTGGGGACGAGGTGATGTGGTGAGCGGGGCCTCCCCTGGACCTGAGGGGCTCTGCTGAGTGGCGTCTCTCGCGTTTGCTGCGACCTGCCCGCAGCGTCGTAACGAGGACGGAAACCAGTGCGGTGCAGGTTCCTGTTTGAGGGCAAGTTCGCGTGGAATGTGGGTTTCTGCCTGTTCTCTGCTCGCACGGGCTGCCTCTCAGGTGCGAAGGCGGCCTGTTCCGATCAGCTGCGTTTTTCTGGTTCAGGGTTTGGCAGTAGACCCTTCTTCTGGGTTGAACTTTGGCGAGAATTCTAGCCAGAAGTTGGGGTGTCTTCTGCTGCTCCGGTAAGCCGAGGCCAGGGCTGTGGCCGTGGAGGGGCCGGAGGGGTCCTCTCGCTCCTCAGCTGTTGCTGCCCCGGGATTCCAGTCATGGAAGGTGCCGGACATCCTCTGGCCCGCATCCTGACGGGACCCTTTAAGTGGCTCCCCCCCCCCC